CTGTCTTTCAGCTTGCTCAAGTTCATTATTTAAATAATTTGGGTTACATTCCTACGCGTGGGAATTGATATTTTGCAACAGCTTTACGTTTCCCAACCTGTTCCGGCATAATTGTTATCAATCGTATTTATCATGCGATTTCAGGTTCTTTTTTTTTTTTTATAAAAAGTAACTAAAGGAATAGAATCTAAATAGAGATTTGCTTCATCTTCCACACGTTGTAACATGGATATCCTCTATACTTTTGTATATTATCTTTAAACTTTGCATATTTTATATATATATATCGTTCCATATATCTTTCCATCGTTTAAAATTTCTCTCGCGTCATGCATAAAAATCTGCAGTTTAGTCGTAACACTTTATACGTTAATATCTACTAGTTTGTTTGAGAAGTTTCAAAATACGGCTGGATTTCTGTAGAATTTCATCTTCGCGTTATCCATCTAATTTCCGCAACATGTAATATACATTTTCCATTTTTATTTCAAATATAATGATCACGTCACGCGCGGCCATTTTACAATAATAATTCCGATAAATGTTTCAACTGTTATAGTTATTATAATATTATATATGTATATATATATATATATCATGAATACATTGCATAATAAAGATTATAGTAGTCGTTACAAGTTTCGACATTTTTAATGAAAAAATTTGCGGCCCAGAAAAATACTATACATACATATCTCATATTTTTTTTTTTCTTTTTTCTTTTTCTGTTTCTGCATACTGAATGGTGCAATAAGAATTAGCGCTTGAATATTTTCGTTGCTTTCCGAGATATGAAAAAGCTTTTAAAAGATTATTCAATATAGGGAAAGCTATGATATGGTAGTATTAATCTTTTGGACTGCGGGAATTTCGGAGATTTCAAGGACACCACTTTTTAAAAAAATATAACATATACATGCTTATATGCATTAATCAATGTAGCTCGATACTCGCCATAAAAAGAAAAAAAAAAAAAATTAACCTACGTATGTCGAAAGATGATCAATTTAGGTTAGGTTAGGTCTTTCATATATCATAAATTCTGCAAAATTGAAGCTGAAATTGTCTCCTGAATTGGTAATTTCTCAACATAGAGATTGACACTTCTTTTCTAGAGAATATCTATAGATTAATGGATTAGAAAAAATATACGGTTCTATTCTAAAAAAAAATGGCCGATCTCGAAATCTTCGAACCCTACCATCTACAAATAAAATAAATTATCACTATCGTATTACAGCTTTTCCTACACTGAACAATTTCTGTCGGTGAAATTTTTTTATATCTCCGAAAACAACAGAGATATTCGAAACAGACATAAAAATAAAGAAAAGAAAGAAAAAAATATTAACCTACGTATGTCGAAAGATGATCAATTTAGGTTAGGTTAGGTCTTTCATATATCATAAATTCTGCAAAATTGAAGCTGAAATTGTCTCCTGAATTGGTAATTTCTCAACATAGAGATTGACACTTCTTTTCTAGAGAATATCTATAGATTAATGGATTAGAAAAAATATACGGTTCTATTCTAAAAAAAAATGGCCGATCTCGAAATCTTCGAACCCTACCATCTACAAATAAAATAAATTATCACTATCGTATTATAGCTCTTCCTATACTGAACAATTTCTGTCGGTGAAATTTTCTTATATCTCCGAAAACAACAGAGACATTCAAAACAGACATTCAGTAATTTTTATTGGACTATCTCGTATGTCTTTTTCGATCTCTATTCCGTCCCTTTCCACGCACACACATACGCAAGCCTCACAAAGAGTCGATTAATTGTAAATGAAACGTATGCAGCATGTGTCGGGTGTGTCAGGTGAAGATGATCCAGTGGTTTTTAGTGAAAAATTATGTAATTTGTGCGACTGGTTCACGTGGTCGAGAAACCCTGCGTCCTTTTCGTTAACTTTAATGTTCGAGGTTAAATTGGAAATTACAGAAAATGGCGGCGGCTCGTTAGGAGATGATCAATTTCGTCCAATGTATTTCAAATTATGCCTTTTAACTCGCACATCTTTTCGCGAAAATATTATATATTTTCTTTAGGGAAGGGAACCAAGTGCTTTAATTATTAAAAAAAAAAAAAAAAAAAAAAACAGCGATGACTTTTGCCTCGCTCGTGTTACGTAGAATTAAAGAATTCTCTTCAAATTCAAACGCACGAGATTGAAATGGAGCGAAGTTTCTCTCGTCTCACGTGAATCGAAAGTATTTCATTTACGCATGGCGATAGGGGGAGAACTTGTGTTGTTCGTACAAAAAGATGCATCTCACCGATAGAAAAAACGGATTTAACGATGGCGGGAGGGCTCGACTATTCACGCACTTGAAATATTATTCGTGTCTTTCGTTCAGGCGCGAGGTATCAAAAGAACTCTCGTATCTTGAACAACGGTGTATCTTGAAAAAGACAAGTGTATAGGCAGGTACTGTATTATGTTTCAGATTGACGTCCACTCGATTGGACGATCGTGTCTCTTGAGACTTTTATCTCTGTATTTCATTAATCTTCCCTCGTTGCTGCATCGCTCGACGAGTCGCAACGAGAGCACAATGTTTACAATAGAATCCTCGAAAAATAAAAGAAAAGAAGAAGACACAACATGTCCGCGTCTCGAAGGCCCGAGGCTTGCCTCTGCAACAGCAGAATCGAATTCTCGCGATTTTCTACAGCGTAAAGAATCACATCGTCTCGAAGAGATAGACTACGTTAGCGCGACAATCGAATTAACGCAATGGTGAACGAAGAACCGGGAGTATAAAATCACGTTCGAACAAATAGAATCTATAAGGTTTCTTTCTTTTTTTTTTTTTTTTTTACTCTATCGTCTACTCAAGAAAGCTGTAAGCGACGTAATCTCAAACATTGAAAGATCCGACAGTGTTAAATGTCACGTTGGTTGTAGAGATCAATTGTTTAATTGCCAGTCAACGCATCTGTTTATCTGTAAAATAAAAACCACGAGATACATAAATGTAAGAAAGGGAACTAATACCGAACTGCAGTGAATTTTTTGAAGAGATGGTACAACAAATGAATTTCTATTGTAATATATTGTTTGAATAGAAGATCATCGATGACCAACGTGGCACTTGAAAATTATAAAAAAGGAGTCAAACATCTTCGCGAAGGAATACGCAAACGAGACACCATTGAATACACGTATTCGACGCTCGATCTATAATACTTTCATGTGTTTCGAGTTTCGATTTCCTCGGACACCGTATATCGCGGGAAATCCGTGTAAATTACAATCGTTAAGTTACACATCTAGCGCTACGCGCGTTTCGTCGCGCGGAAGAAATCGACGGCGGCCGGTTGGATCGACATTTGATCGTTCGATTTCTTTTCTTCTCGAGGAATGAGAGTGCGAGTCTAGTCTAGTCTTCTATCTGCGAATGATAGCCCTAAACGTTGCTAGTCTCGTGATGTCTGTGGAAGAGAGCGACAACCGGAAGTGACGTCCGGTTGCCATTTGATTTAATATTTGCTTCCAGTGGAGCAAATGCCTTTTCGTGTTTGAGAAGTCGAACGTTAACGCGGTTAAACATCTTTTTTTAGTTTTGCCGAGTGGTCAATCTGCTTAAAGTTATTGGTCGATAAATATTTCAATTGTATAGTAAATCACGTGACTGTGAATTTCTTAAAGTTCACATCGAAGAAAAAAATCCCGTGGAAGGTGCTTGTTCGTTAACGTAGTTTAAATGATAGGCCTGTTTCCATCGTTGTCAAAAAAGTGTAAATTATGTACAGTAGTAAAAGTAGTTTGTAAAAAGACGTATTTAGCCTATGAAAGACAGGATGAACTTTCGCTCGTTACTCTGTAAGTAAATTCTACAAGATTTCTCAATCGGTAGACTGCGGAAATTATAGTACATTGACAGATGTTTTCTTCATCTAGAGGATGTAATACAACAGCGAGTATCGTACCCTAGATATTTCACAAACACATAAAAAAATTCCGCAGTCTAACTTTCCAACGACTTTCGCAACAAACTGTGTAATCGATCCGTCTCATCCCTCGAGTCAGAGAAAATTCGGAGCGAGTCGATCGAACGGGGCAAAAAAGTGGTCGTTTATTACAATAGTACTGCGTTTTCGAGACAATTTGCCGATTACCTATATACTGCGTTTACAACATGGCTAACATTTACGCTATTTATTTATTTTTTT